AATTGAAAAATTTTGTTTGAATTTCTATACACACTCTTACAGATTTTGACAGTTTATGCCGCCAAAGCAAAAACAAAATACATGTAAATTTTTGTTTTTGTATTCCTGCTATCACCTTATAATAACTCGCCTTGGTTCATAGTAGATTGGAAACACATTAAAACCATAGCAACAAGAGAGAAAGTGAAATCCAGCTCTTTCTCGAAAATAAATATTAGAAAATTAGAAAATATATATGTATATATACATATATCAGTGGACTCCTCACCAGTTAAATGAAGCTTGCATCCATAAAATATTTTTGCTGTAAACTAGTGTAATTAGAGTTTAATTTTTTCGCTCAAAAGAAATTATTATTACTTAATTTTTATTTTTTTCGATCAAATATAATGATTATAATAATTATCTCTCCGTCAGACACATGTTTCGATTGGCACATTCAGTCTGGCTGGACCCACATACAAATTGTATGCGTTTATATAGAAACTATGTGCAACATTTCTTCAGTTTAACTTATTTACTGTATGTTATTCAAATATTTACTTAATTTAAGGGCTTTCTTTTTTTATTTTATTATTTAAATACACTCGCGATCAAAACCGAGTGCATGTTCGACATTTTATTACTTACAGTAACATAACTTTTTTAATAATAAGCGGATTACGTTGAAATTTTCAACAGTTTGTCCTTATTATCTAAGGTATAAAGCCTAGCATACAGAAAAATTAACAAGTGATTCACAGCAAAAACGCAAGGCAACTCTCTTCACTCAGTTTTGAATTTTTCTGTTTTGAGATTTTAGGAGGTATATATCAAGAGGATTGTGGAGACCCCTTAGCTTTTAATAGCGATTTTTATACGTCTGGGAATGTTCTTTACTGATTTTTCTATGATTTCGCTTGGAATATTACATCATTATAATTTTACTCGCCTCCAAATCTCTGCCATATTAATGGAGCTCGGTTGTGCTATGCTAATCCTCTCTTGACCACAGCGCTCAATTTTTCGATAGCTTTAAGGTCTGGGATTTGTGCTGGCCACCATGTTAGACGTTTTTCTTGGCATGGTGTTTTTGAAGATGTTGATGAGGTCGTTCTCAAAAATATTCTTTTTTATCGCTTTGGAAACAATTAATTTTCGTTCCATCGGACCATATTACCCCTTTTCAGTCCAAAAGCTCCAATTGTCGTGACTTTTACAAAATTTCAGTGGCTTGGGATGTTTTACTTGCTGGCATTTGAACTTTGTAGACAAAAGCGCAAACCCTGCGGAATAAGTTGTTTGCAAGCAGGACGGAGAACCAACCAGGATTCTGAAAATATTCGACACCGCCGGCTGCTTGAGCAAAATTTTCACGTAATGCAGTGGGCAGCCATCGAAAATTTGAGCGCTGTGGTCAAGAGATGATTAACATAGCACAAGCGAGCTCCAAGTAACATGGAAGAGCTTTGGAGGCGAGTAAAATTATAATGGGGTAATATTCAGCATAGCAATGCATGAAATTTTTGAAAATGACATTTTAATAGATACGCTGGGAAGAAGTTAAGAAAATATTTAAATTTATATTTTGTTACCTACTTCACCGATTTGAAATCTGAAAACTATACCTTTCATGAGCATGAAATGGTATTATAACTTTGGTCCGATATTTGTAAGTACAAGAATAAGAAGAGATTGGTTCGAGCCCCCAGCCCCTACGTAGCGACGCCCATGGGCGCATCCGTTCCTCCGGTTAAACTCTTTCGCGGAAAAGTGCTCTCAACAAACAAACGATACTTTTGGTAACGGATTTTCAGTTCCCATGCACGCGGATATCCACTTTTGCCGCATATATGGTACCGCCGCGAGTCGAAAAACCTTTATGTTAGTTTTTTTTCGCAATTTCTGTGTTATTTTTGCAACTCCTAAATATGCAGCTCATCTTATTAAAAAACATTACAATAATTAACAAGAATAAATGCATATTTTATGTGAATACAATATAATATTTCACTTACCTTCCGTTTTATATTCACTATCGCTAGAAGCTTTAATTTCTTTTAAATAATTTTGTATATATACATTTTTTTGAAGTAATCAATCTCTTTTTTACTTTTGTCAAAGAATATGGTAGCTCGATTTCAAAAGAAAATGCCAAACGCACAGTTTGCGTCAAATGGGAGCAATGGCGGCTAAGAAGAAGAAGTGAAACTACCTTTAAATATGTGTGTCATGGTCAAATATTTTAAATTGAAACTACCTTCTTTATTGTATCATGGATAATACCTTCAAGGTAATAATTGATACCACAAAAAGCGATAGCGTTCCGAAAATTGTCGCTAAGTGGTTACAAAAGGGAAATTACTTTTCTTTCCCTCTTTCCCAATTTAGACAGCCAAAATTATAATAAAAAATCAGTTAAATTTTTCAAAAGCAATTTGAAAAAATCCTCATTTTCCCAACAATGCTTAACGGTTTTGCTTTTGGTATTAAGAAAGCAATACTCAGAGCATTTCTGCAACGACAAAATGCCTTCCAATTCATTTTACGTCGCCACAGGGAGAAAACTGTCAATGCCTTTCAAACGTAAGCAGAAATTGCAGAAGCACGTGGAGCGCATATTAAAACAGTACATATGATCTTGCCGTTCAAGTCGACAGCACTACCATTTCCACCACTCTCGCAATCGCTGCGATTGCTGCACAACGATAAGAATGTGCCAGACTTCTCCGACTTTCGCCGTGAAACCACGAATCCAGATGATCCACACGATAACTGTGCAGAACAGCGCAAAGCCTTCTCTTACACGATAGTTGCCGTTGGCGTTGTCGGGAGTTGTTATGCCGCCAAGGGCAAAGTGAACATGTTCGTACATTCCATGGGCGTATCAGCCGATGTACTAGCTATGGCCCAGATCGAAATCAAGTTAAAGGGCAAGTCGGTTACGTTCAAATGGCGAGGTAAACACTTTTCATACGACATCGCATCGAGGCCGAAATCCAGGGTGTGCGTTCGGTGAAAATATCGACCCTACGCGACCCAGAGTCAGATGATAAACGCGTCAAGGATCCACATAGGCTGTTGGTGATCGGTGTCTGCACACATTTGGGTTGTGTGCCAATTGCAAATGCAGGCGACTTCGGTGGCTACTACTGTCCTTGCCATGGCTCGCACTTCGATGCGTCTGGGCGTGTACGCAAAGGCCCTGCACCGCTTAATTTAGAAGTGCCATAATATGAGTTCCTTGATGAGCATACCCTGATTGTAGGTTAAGAGGATATTGTGGCAGGCGAAAAACAAATAGGGGAAACGGCGCGCACTTGTCAAGCAAAGTTAAATATTAATAGTGTATTAAATTACATCTTTCCTTGTTTTTAATTCTGTGTTCGTATGGAATAGTAGCTTATGTCGAAAGTCCTGCTTTAGTACAATGCGGCATGCGCAGCATACGGTTGCGAATGACTCACAGGCGCTGAGCCATTGAAGAACTTTTGGAAAATACAAGTGCAAAAAATAGTTCCGATACTAGCAAGTCAATAATCTTATTAAGTCTCATCAAAAAATTCCTTATCATTTAAAGAATAAAGGGAATGCCGCATTATACTAAAGCCAGCTTCCCGACATAAGCTACTATTTCATACGAACTCAGATTTATTTAATGGACTTCAAAAACCAAACGCGGGTTGGACAATAAAACTTCTTACATAACTGTTCAAAGTGATTTGATTTTTCCACTGCGGAGGTTAACTCAGACGGTTTGCAGGTACAAAATATGGGGTCTGTTCCAGCTAAGCAATAATTACCGCAATATTGCTTTCTGGATGCTCTGTTGCGATGGCCGAAAAACCGACTATCGTAAAAATATACAATCACCGTTCGAAGTCGGCGTAAAACTATAGGTCCCTCCCCTTTGTGTGACAACATTAATATATTGTGTAAGCGCCAAAATTCTGTAGCATTAATTTGTACTGGAACCTGCAAATTTTTACTGGAAAAGTGTATGATAACCCAAAAAATTTGCAAGAGAGCACTGAATCGAGAGCGTAACAACGCGGGAGGCTGCAAATTCTTGCTAGTAAAATTTCTACTAGCGGAAATTATCTAGCAGAAGAAGAAGAAGAATAAGTGTCAAAAGCCGCCATTTGCTGAATTGGTTTAGCACAAACGAAAGTAAAATTAGTAGAAATCAAAATATTAGTGATGTACTGGACTGTATAAGTGCGTGTGTGTAAAACAAAGCGTTTAATAATTATTTATAAATAGTAAAATGTTTACAGCAGAATATCAAAACAGTGCAACAGCTGTTCACTTGCAAGTTTTTGCTATTTTTGTGTTCATTAACTTTTTCTGCTAGTTTTCTGTTCTTCTCAATTTTACGCTCTATTTTGCTTTTACGCTCTCGCTGCAATGTTTTACTGCAGAAGTTACTATACAAACCTATTTATGAGTGCTGTGAAAAGGTGTTATATGTAGTAGTGAGCACAGTAAGCAGATTCACCAAATAGAACTGGAGAGCCGCTATCAAAAAGCTAATGAGGTTTTACAGCAGGGTTGGGCATAATACACTAAAAAATGAATGCTACTTATACGCTTTTCACTACGTCTGTCTGTTCAGTGATAGTCAAAGTGCAGAATCAATATCACTAAAAATTTAGTGATAGTGAAAAAAAAAATCACTTTCACTAAAACCCTATGCCGAATTTCCACCAGGCATTAAAATTGCAGAAAATTGGAGGCATTTAAAAAATGCCATGTGGAAATGAATTTAATGGCTGCATTTTTAACGTAATGACAAAAATATTTTTTAATGCCCAAGTTTTTCATTACCATTTTTGCCATTTAATGCCTAGTGGAAATCCAACATTAGTGATAGAACGTCGAGTGACCGAAGGCAGCACAAACTGTCAACACCCAGTGCGCCGTTTGCTCTCGCCAGCGATGATGTTCAAGTACCCATAGAGAAGACGAAAGCCTACAAAGCCATTGGACCCAACGGAATATGCATGCTGATGCTGAAAAAATTAGGTTTTGCAGGAGTAGATTATCTCAGCAAGGTCCTCCATTAGTCCATAGCCACTATATCGTTCCAGATATCTGGAAAACGGGGAGAGTGGTCCCACTGCTTAAACCGGGAAACCAGCCAACAAATGGGAGTCTTATCGCTCGATAACCCTCCTTTCCCCGCTAGCAAAGACACTTGAGGCCTTTCTTAACGTCATAAACACCCAGCTAACTCGTGGCCTAAACCGAAATTGCCCCTTTGAGAGAACTGTCCTAGTAGGGTTGGATTGGGAAAGGCATTTGATACCGTCAGTCAATCCACGCTCCTAGAATAAATTAAGGCTTCCTCTTTCCCACAGGGACTCAAACGGGTCAAACCCAGGGCCAGAAATCTACACCTGCTGCGTATGCCAGAGACGACTGCATACAAACTCCACCTCGGTCGGGTGCAATGCCTCTGACGGGTGGAGTCACCTCCGTTACTGCTCGGGCCTACGTACGCACCGGCAAGGGATCTCGTCGTTCGTGGCCCCATGCTGTGCGAACTGGACCGCCTCCACGGCAAACCACCACCCGCCTGGGCAGCACACAATCAACACACCACACCCACCCACACACAACACAACAATAGACACACAAACAAACACAATAGCACCCACACACCGCCGCCGGCAACTCCTAGTCCCTCCGACAATCTGCTCTGTTTGTCAGTCCAGAATATATCGTAACGTGGCATCAGTCAAGTGCAACTCTTGCCTCGGCTGGTGCCACTTTAGGGCGTGCTCAGGACTTCGCAACACGCGAGATTGGACGAGTGACTATGTGGGCCCCTGCTGTGCTACGCCGTCGCATCCCCAAGGCAGCACCCCCTTTTGCAGCACGTACAGCAGGTGGTCGGCAGACAACACAACTCTTTAACACCACACATCGCAATCGGTCTCCCAAGGCACACAAAGGTGCTACAATTTAACTGTAACGGACTCCAGAGCAAGATCGAGGAGATAACTGTCTTTATGGGAAGGCATGGAATATTAGTAGCTGCGGTCCAAGAGACGAAGTTGCACGGCAATTCAACCCTGTTGAATTGCGTCGCATACAACGTGCACCGTCGAGATCGCGAGCGAGATAATGGTGGAGGTTTAGCGTTCATCACGCACCACACCGTGCAATATCGTCTCATTGTAGCAGACATCGACCGCAGGGACACCATCCTAGAATGTCAGAGTATTGCTATCCGGTCAGGTGATGTTGAGCTCGAAATATTTAACGTATACATACACCCTGTCACCAGCTGCCCGGCAGGATATCACCCTGAGATAGGTGCGCTACTCAGAGGTGAAAGCCGTATGATAGTTGGTGACTTTAACGCGCACCACGATCTTTGGCACTCAAGCCTGTCAAATGATCGTAGGGGAATACATCTGGCTGAGCAGATAGACGATTCGACATTCTGCACA